ATATTTTAGGAACTGAAATGTGTACTGTTAAAGTATCTTTTATATTTCTAGCGAAATTAACTGTGTTCCTTAACAAAGACGGTTCTTACTAACAGTCTATTTCTATATTATTAGAGACATAACAAAATTGAAAATTTATGTGAAAAATTTATATGGAAAAAGAAACCACAAAATATTATCTTCGTGTGTTGACGGGATTGACGATTTCAAAGCAATTTGCGTGCGGTCTGTATTTGCAAACTGCATCAACAATGGTAACAGTCGCTATTATTAACTGATCCTCTCAGCGAGAGTTTATTGACTGTAGTGCTGTACTTATAACCGAACCATCAGTTATAAGTGTAGCGTTTCAGGAAAGAATACGCTGATTGTACTTTAGAGAGTGGAGAATCGTGAGGGACGATCTAGAGAAAATGCCATTTCAGGTAATAGCAAGAAAAGTGTTGCAAATTGATAGAAACGTAAAATAGATGCATAGTTGTGAGAAAACCAGATTGTCATGAAATAAAACGGGCCAAAGTGATTAGGTAGGATGAATGCAAGGTAGTTTATATAAAAAAGAACAAGTTACGTGAAATAGAAAATCAATATAATTTTTACGTGAAAAGTTACACTTAATTCTTTAAATAATTAAGCAATTTTGCTTTTAATAATAATTACTATTGAAAATGAAAATATTATATATATATATATATATATATATATATATATATATATATAACAGTTTAATATTACATATATATAACAGTTTTATATAACAGTATAATTATTAATAATTATACATATAATAATTTCTGCATCTTTAGAGAATAATTATATATATATATAATAATTTCTGCATCTTTTTATTTTCTTCGATTGATTTTGTTAACCACACGTTTCGCTTTGTAATTCAAATTGCGTATTTAATTTAATGGGCCGAATAATGAAATTGGTTGGAATTATTGCGGCATGTAATAGCCAGAATTAAACTGTCGTAGGTTATGTTTACATCAAATTGCTGCTCCGATTATGTACTGATCGAAACGGGACGCGCGAGAGCGATTATCGAAAGTGAGCAATGTAAATTCGCGGCCGGCACAAGACCCGTTCTCGTTTTCCTCTCTTTTCTCGCGACGAGTGACAAAAAGCTGGTAAACGCTCGATGAACGATTAGACCTTCGAAAACGAAAGTGAAGTGAACGAACGCGCGGCGCGATAGAACGCAATGTCGCTCTTGGATCCCGGACAATTTTCTCACGACATTACGACATGTTCGACAAATATCAGCGAACCGTTTAATGTCTTACACTCGCAAGGAGTCGCGTTAATCTCTAAAAATAAATCGTATATAATTAACTGTCCGAGTGACAATGTATTTTCGCTACTTTCGGAGTTGATAGAAATGTAAAATAGATGCGTGGTTTTGACCACCATGACCAAACCAGATTGTCATGAAATAAAACGGGCCAAAGTGATTAGGTAGGACGAATATAAGATAGTTTATACAAAAAAGAACAAGTTACGCGAAATAGAAAATCAATATAATAGAAAAATTTGTACATGTGAAAAGTTACACTTAATTCTTTAAATGATTAAGCAATCGTCATGAAGGTTGACAAGCGGAGCGTAGAGAGCGAGGTTGAAGCTGCCCTCGCCTGGGCGGACAAGAGCTTCATCTTGCGACTTCATCTAGTGACGTCGGGATTCGTGGCGCGAGTAATCGAGGCGCGCGATCTCTCTACGTTCGCTACTTTCGAAGTAACTAGGGTCATCAGTGTTTTCCTCGATTCGTGCCCAAAAATGATTGAAACTCCCTTTACTGACTGCTCCGCGCGAAACTTCTTGTTTTCAATTATTGTCCGACAGATAATTTCGATTGTTAGGGCACGGATATATCATTAAACGGAACGTAATCTTTCGTCAACAGGTGACAAGTGGCTCGTGTCGTGTCTGGGTGTGCTGCACCTCAGCAAAGGTCTATTCTACAGAGTGGTACCAGCCGATCAAGGTTTCGGAAGCAGCGGAGAGCCGCCGGGTTCGCCGACCGCCGAGTATGCCGGGGTGTTCAGGTTTCGGCTGTGGTGGTGCGGCGCATGGGTGGAGGTCCTCGTCGACGACCGACTACCGGCGGTTCACGGCAGATTGGCCTTCGTCCAGAGCCGCCATAGCGATCAGTTTTGGCCGGCTCTGCTGGAGAAAGCGTATGCCAAGTGAGTTCTGTCGTCTGCATCATCACACTTGCCGAGAAGTCTCGCTTGAAACATATTGAGGCCGTAGAGTAGTGTTTTGCAAGGCGGTTGCAATCTCTCGTCTCTCGTGAGAGATCGTGGAAATCCGCGGGGCGAGATACATCGTATTGCTATTGCGAGCAACGTTGTTCCCGAGCGAGTTTGAGACGAACGACGAATTGTCGTGGGCGGCGTGGGCGTCCATCAGGTGGCCGTTCAAGGTGAACCCATGAAGGCGCGAAGATCGCCGCGTTCGATCGATGAACTGCGATTATCAGCGGTGCGGCTGTGACACGTGTAAATGTGAATAAATCACCGGGCTGGCGCGTCGACCTCCTCGGGGACGTTATTTTAAATTCGAACGCGTTGGACGGATCGATTGCGTAAGCAGGTGTGCTAATGATGACAATATCGAAGTAAACAAAAAAATGAAACACCTCTCCACATGTATTTGCATACGCGGAGAAGGTATGGTAGAAAAAATGACAACAAAATTTTTGTATTCTTGGACGGTACAGAGTTATGACCGCAAAATTACTAAAACATATAACGATATTGATTATAATTCTATGCTGTCTAGGATTGTCAAAATTTTGTTGTAATTTTTGTAACAAAATTAGTAATGAATATATTACAAATTTCGTTTGTTATAAAGTCACTATTTGCTACGCACATTTGATTTTTCATTACAAAACTGTTGCGATCCCTTGAATACTTTTTATGTTCGGTACATCGATAAATCTGCTATTTCTATAGTAATTTGTATTATAAGAAATCAGTTAATAAAAATTAATTAATTTTAGTATAATCCAGTTTTACAAAAAGCAAATGAAATACGATCTTAACGTAACTTTTACTCCAATATTTTCTCCGTGTAGAAATATTGATAGAATTTACGCACGTTATTAGTCTTTTTTAATAGACGAACGATCGGAGAAGTAGCAGAGACATTAGTACGAGTCGTAAGAAACGTTTCTTTCTTGTAACTGGATTTTCATATGAAATATTTTACAAAGCACCTTGTTATGACATATCGCCGTCATTATTAATAATGACTCGTGTTTCCACCTGACAGATGATTTATGGATCTTTTCCGCGCGAGCATTCAGTGAAAATATATATTTACCAGCTTCAGTGGAAACATTACTTACGACTCGATCTGATGCAGGGAAAAGATCGAACGACAGAACCCCGAAGGTTCGCAATTACGATCTACCGGGCCTGTATAATTCTGACTGAAGCGATCTTACGTGACTACTGTGAGAGAGCGACATTTCGCGCGGATCAAATCCACAATTAATGCGAAGTGTTGCGTACATCGTGGGCACGCACACACGAACACGCATATACACATACACATATACACATGTGCACTCAGGTCGCGCCTCGCTCGTCATGCAGGTTGACAAGCGGAGCGTAGAGAGCGACGTTGAAGCTGCCCTCGCCTGGGCGGGCAAGAGCTTCATCTTGCGACTTCATCTCGCGACGTCGGGATCCGTGGCGCGAGTAATCGAACCGCGCGATCTCTCTCGCCATGAGATGGAAGTTAAGTTTACGCGAACGAACGAACGAACGAACGGATGGACGAACGAACGAACGAACGAACGAACGACGATGACCGGTTTTGCCGGAGGTCCTTGCTCCTCTTCTTAATCTTTCTCTGATGACCGTACCTACCTACCTCCCTCCACTACCATCTCTTTTCCCTCGTTATCCAAGTCGTTTTACTCGTACCCCCCCCCCCC